CTGCGCTTATCAGTCCAGGGGCCCGCCCGGGAGCAAACACCTTCAGAGCTTCCCTGCTGCCGAGGGGAAATGCGGCTTGGCAACGGTCCGGTCCCTCAGCCTGCAAACCCGCAGGGAGCTGCGCGAGCGAGCACGAGGGGAGTCTGGAGGCCAGCGGTCACAGCGGCTGGCTTTTCCTCTGCGGGCGGAGTGCCTGTCCTCTGGCGGCTTGGTCATAAAATGCTCGTCTGCCTTTTTGGACACATTATCTGAAAGTTCATTTTTAATTTTCCCCCAGTGGCTGCCCGGCAGAGTCACCGGGGATGTAAAGCAACTTGGTTTCGGAGCTTGAGCCCACCTTCGCCGGCTGATCCTCTTCTTTATCCTCCTTCAGCTTCTCCTCCTTCCGGTACCGGGTTGGAACTGAACCCAGGGCCTTTGCACACAGCCCTTTCTTAGATTTTTATTTTGAGACAGAGTCTCAGCCTCAGCCTCCACCACGCTGGCAGACAGAGGCCCCAGAGTGAGTCTAGCGCACCGCCCTACGCTGGCAGCTGCGGTGGGCCACTGTGCGTCCTGTGACGCACATTCCCGTGCTGCTCCTGCCTGGCAGGGGCTCAGCCATAGAATTACAAGTTGGCTCAAAGAGCCTGTTTTGGAAAAGGAGAAAACGACTTCATGTGACAAGCAGAGCCTCTCCCTACAAGCCAGCCCTTCGTTGCCTGGGACAGTGAACAGGCACGTGTGACCAGAGAGCCACCTGAGTCAGCCAGGCACCGTAGTGCACACTGGCACCCAGCACTGAGGAGGCTGGGCAGGAGCACTGCCAGCTGAAGACCTTGACTGGGCAACTCAGCCCTGCTCTGTCTCAAACTAGAAAACAAAAGGGGCTAGGAGAGCTCAGTGGCAGAGCACCCTGCTGAGCTTGAGCTACCGAGGTTGCACGTAGGTGTCACACACAATGAGGGCTCAGCATCAGTGGGCCACACACTACCCCGGGTGCCCCTCCTCCTAGCTGAGCACCTCAGCTCCAGGAGAGTCCCTGAGGGGCTCCCAGGAACACCTGCGACTGCCACAGTGACCCAGCACTGCTCACAGCCTCCTGAAAAGACTCAGAATTCAGGGGACAGGGGCCGGCTTGATGGCTCAGTAGAATAAGTGCTTCCCTGGCAAGACAAGGGCCTGAGTTCAATCCCCAGTTCCGCCAAAAAGAAAGAATTCAGAGGACCAAACTTTGACTCTGTCCTAAAGTTTGTCTTCTGCAAAAGCGGTTGCTTTTTGGCCTGGGAGCAAAGGTGGAGAACGCAAGTGTCCCACTTGTTCTTGACCCTTCTCTAAGACAGGCAGAGTGAATCCTCCAGGAGGTGCTGCCTGCGCCGCCACTGTCCTTGATAAGTGCCATGAGTCAGAGACGAGGAAGCGCATCATGCTGCAAATGCGCGTCTAAAGGGCTGCCCTTCTGCCTGCTCCAGAGCACCTCAGCACGCCCTCGCGCCCCGCCCGCCCAGTGCCAGGAGGACCCCAAGCCTTGCTTCGGAGTGACTGCCACTCGGAGCAGGAGCCGCCTGGTGACTCCTTAACCAGACCCAGGGAGGCCCCCAAGGCCCCAGCCCTGTGCTTCCTTGGGGGTCCTCCTGCATACCTCCCCTGTGCCCAGACCTGGCTCTGTGTCCACTCCTGAAACGGGCACCCTGCCTCCTTTAGGCAGGCCCTCAAAGACGCATGGAGATGTGCAATGGGAGATAGACTTTATTTCCTTTTCCTTGAAAGTAAAGCTTTACAAAGTTAGTAAAAATTCAAAGGAGAAAATACAAAAAGTAATTTAGTTACTTTTATCTGACCAGTCCATTTTAGAGTTCTTATATACAAAGGATAACTCAGTACATAGCCATGGACTGACACACAGTTAAGAGACTGGAGCTCAGTGGGTAAGGACGCTCCCAAGGGCACACCTTTTTCTTTCCCCACAAGGGTGTATCCTTGAGGCAGAAGTGTTGTGTCTGGGACACCCACGTGACACCCTCTAGACCCTGCTACTTCCCACTTCCCCACATACCTGCCTGTGCCTTGCCATTCGTCAGGGGCATTTGCATGGGTCAGGAGGAGCCAGGACCTGCAGTGAGCCTCAGCCAGAAAGGCCCAGTGCAGGATAGAGGAGACTGTTTCTCTTTTTCTGTGTAAGTTTTGGGTCTCACTTACAATCCATGCTAAGCACATGCTGCACTCTACCTGCAGTGCTACTTGTGTCCCCACAGCAGTGACAGCATGTCTGAAGCGTGTCTCGGCTCCCGGTGGACTCTCATGAAGGGTGTGCCCAGCTTTCCCTGAACAGGAGGTTGCTGCAGCACCACCACTGTGCTCTGGCAGTGAGGGGCAGTGGCTTCGGTGGCCTGGCTGTTCTTGGAGTGACGCCACCCATGTGCTTCCTGGGGACATGTGGGAGTAGTCTGCTCTGCAGACCTTTAGACTGAGTCCCGCTGCTCCTCTCTATAGCTACACACTTGCCAACCACTGCCTTGGGTCCCTGCTGAACAAGGTGTAAAGACAGAAAATAGGCGTGGTGCTGTGCTTAGGTGTCTCCTGCTCCTTTGCTGGGAGAGTGCCAGGAGTGATTCCAGGGTAGGGAACCCCATGCTGCTCCATGCAAGTGGCCACAGGAGCGGGTTGCCCTGTGTCTGGCGAGGTTAGCACATACCACTGTGCTGCCAAGAACCCCCGCAGATACCTCAGAAGTCCATGCTTCCTGCAGAGGAGCATACAGTGCCAGACCCAGGCGTTGACTGTCCTTGTGGATGAGACATTTGCAGTTAGCCAGATTTGGGGTTAGTGGGCTGACTGGAGAGGGGAGACCAGAGGGAAACATGTGGGTTCACCCTAGATGAAGCATTGTGGCCCTCTGAGCTCATGAGTCTGCGCAGGCAGCGCAGCCTTGCTCAGCCCAGGCACTCTGCTAGGCGCCTTTCCAGAGCCTGGGCTGGAAAAGATCTTGCTGCGGGTAGATATCCAAACCTGAAAATCAAGGAGGGCACAGTGAGTGCGATGAACTGTGTCTGAAGAAATTGCTCCATTGTAGCTGGGCATGGGGGCATAGTCCTGTCATCTCAGTGCTCTGGGAGGCTGGGGCAGGAGGCCTGCAAATTCAAGCCCAGCCTGGGCAATTTGATGACTTAGTAAAATTCTATCTCAAATTTAAAAAAAAAAAATTATATGGGGCCAAAGAGGAAAGTGATCGATGACATAGAGTGTGCCTAAGGAGAGTCACATGG